CGGGGTACAGTAATTAAATCGCGTCTCCGTTCGCCATGCGGAAGCTACCTGAGAAATATTAAGTGCGCATGCTCATCAGTTAAACTCGTGGTGAAGAAAGCATGGCGGCTGAAGGCGATCGAAGGAAAAAAGCTCTTCTGTTCTATTATCTTTGAAAACAGAGACGAAAAAGGAATAATTTGGCCCATAGAGCAGCAATGAATCGACTATCTACGGAGATAATATCACCAGAGATATTCACGGAAATATTAATGTTCGGAGCCGAGATTTAATTACTGTACCCCGCAGGGACGACGTGTGGGGAGGCGTGTGAGAGGCGGAGAGACTATTAAAAGATTAGGCGGTTTTTCTTTCATGTACGTCCGCCATTTTTAGGTCACCGGCTTTGTAAAGCTTGGCTTAATTCGTTGAGTATGCGCTCTAAGTAATCTTTGGTGGAGTGGGAGGGGAAAATAGAACTTGCTGTACCTATAGAATCTATAGAAAATGTAGAATGTGGTAAGGGAGAGTTAAACCATTTTCAGTACTCATGTCAGCTATGTTTTAAACATGTTGTATTGACTACATTTTGGCTGTTTATTTATCAGGCATTTTTAGATTTTATTTTGTCAAGGTCATATTTTGTCTGGAGAACAGGGTGAAATACTGTACACATAAAACTATGCTGGAATAGGTTTATATGTTCAGTAATAGTATTAAAATTATGTCACATTAACTTTTTATTTTTTAAATACTCTCAGAAACATTTCTAAGTCAATCTGATATCTTAAGTTTGCAATGACGTCACCTGGTGATCATTAGCGATCATTTATATACAACTATCTTAAAGATGTTGGAACACATATAAGATCAATGTTTCAAAATATCACAGCGTGTTATACACCCTGGTTAATGCTTAGCTAGAGAACGAGGCTTTAGCTCCAAGGCTTTGCCTCCTGACTGCACAAAAGCTGGATGCAAATGGTTCATTAAATTGCTGTGAGCAGGTGTCTGAATATTACACATTGGATGTCTCGAGAGTGATTATTTTCCTTGCTGAAGATTGTTGTTGTAATGTTCCCAGTCGGTACAGGTGTTCCATCACTATCACCCTGGCTGCTGGTTGCAGTCTGGATGTTTATTTTGCTCCTCATGTGTATTTTACTTGCTCTTCTTCAATCTCTCTCTCTCTCTCTCTCTCTCTCTCTCTCTCTGCACATGAGTTTATTCCTTGTACATGTTCTAGTTACAGTTATGTTCTTGTACAGGATCAAGACAGATGACATCACATTTCAACCTAATCAAAGTTAATTCAAATTTTGTTTGGTTTATAACTTTTATGAAGGGAATTATCATTTGCTGAGACCACAAGTAAATTAATTTCATCCATGATTGTTGAATGGTTGTTCGTATGCTGGTACAAGAAAAGATTAGCTTACCTTAGCTTGCTTAGGGTGTTGGCATAAGAATATTAACATGGTAACAGCTGCTTCAACATAATGTTAACTACTTTACATTAAATTTGGTATGGCAATTTTTTTTTTCAAAAGATCCACTTACACCTTTGCTCTTTTATATTTAATTTAATTTTTCAGAGGGAATTTGGGACTTCCAAATATTTTCATTGTAATATATTTACAGTAAATTTGGTATATGTAATTGTTTATTTTCTGTGAGTAGCTCATTGCACCTGTGTTTTTTCCAAGTGTTTTTATTTATTTAATTCAAGTTCATAATATCTTCATATGAAATTGATAATAGAAGGGTCTACTATTTGACTACAGTCCATTGAAACAGCCTCTTGGAGTTTAAATGCACTATTTTTTTTTCTTTCATGATTGATGGCTTAAGGTGAATGGTCTGTTGAAGCATAATCTTAACTGCCCTCTACATCCTTCACATATCTCCTTTTACCATAAAAAACTTAACTGACTCACTGTTTTTAGATAAACAACACTTTCTGGCATTAGTCTGTATTGTTTAGTAGACATAACACCTTCTTACTTTAGTGCACAGCATCTACTCTGGGCCGCGTTCAGCTCTGCTTTAACTGAAGCTGTTTTGGGGCTAATGGAAGTAGATGCTTTTTGCTTTGTTTTAACTGAAGCAGTTTTTAGGCTATCTTCAGAAGCAGGCAGTTGCAGTTGCAGTTGGATGTTTGTGTTGATCATGTGGAGTAATGATTATGGAGCTGTGTTATCAATTCCTCTGTAAAAACACTCTCAGGTTGTTGTTTCTAAGCACTCTTACATATGTTAGGGATGTTGTTCTTTATTTTTGATTGGGAATTGATTATTCTGAAATTGATGATAGTTGTAACAGTTTTGGAAAAAACCAGAAGGGAATCAAAGGCAATTTTAGTCAAGCATACATTATATTTGAAGCATTTTCATGGCTTGAACATCTGAAAAAGCAGATATCAATGAATAAGCAATATTTTACATCAGAATTAAGACAACATGCAATTGTTCATTTGACTTGAAACATTGCAGATTTAGTTATCTGAAAATACACATATGTAACGGGTATATGATGTTAGCTTGCATTTTAGGGGATTATACACAGCATTTGAATGAAATAAAGTTGTCTTTCACATCTCAATATTTTAAGTTAAAACTGTTTTGAATTCAGCCTAAGCTATTGCAAGCACAGACAGGTTAAAATCACTAACACCCCGTTCACACTACGCTCAGTAATCCGGATAAGTTGCGAATTAGGTCACAATTCGAATAAATGCAGTAGTGTGAACGCAAGAGGATTTTGAAAATGCGCATTTTCAAAATCCTGCAAGCGAGGTGGATTTCTAAGCGCGATCCGGATAACTTCCCGGAATCGGCACCTGTACAGATCTTACTGCGCATGTGTGCAATTAAGTGCGGGTATCTATGAACGCTGGTTTATTACTTTAGCGATTGCACCAAACGTATTTGGAGGTCACCACTCACTACAACATGAGGAAACAAACTTATTTTGCCACCTTATACTTCTCAAGAATGCTGGAATGTCTTTTGAGTTGCATTTGTCGTCACAAATTTTTGTTGATATTTTAAGATTTCCTGTGCGGCGCATGCGTGAGTGTTCAAAACAGGAAGTTAAACCTGAAATTTTCAACGTGGGATTCGGATTCGCTTAGCGAGTGTGAACGCAATACCGAATCGGATTCCTTACGAAAAATCCGAATTATAGAAATGCGCATTTTGGCAACTGTAGTGTGAACGGGGTATAAGTGTAGGCTGGATGTATTGCAGTTGTCTGATGAAGAAAATGCCAAGGTGAGTTTTTGGGATATTTATCTTCAAAGTTGAAAGTAATTTTATCAGGCTGATATATATATAAAAAGAAAAGTTTATTTAAGTTTATGAAGCAACATATAATTGGGATCTCTTAATAAATAATGTCAAAAAAAACAAAAACAAAAAACTCTTAGGGTAACATATA